GGACCATTAGTGTTAGTGATCATAGAACTCCAGCTCCATACCAGACTATGCATAGTTGAGGAGACAGAGTGTTTCCGTCGTGCCCTGCGTGAGGCAAGGGGGACAGGACGTGGGATTGGGATAGAAGGAGGACGGAGGATAAAATACGTACTCCGAGTAACACCCTTTGAAGGGCGGTCTCGGATAAGGGCATGGTATGAGACGACCAGAGAGGCTGAGAGGTTGAAGATAAGCGAAGCCAGAAAATCTTGAGAGTTAGGAAGAGTAGTAACAGATGGTGCAATACTCAGGGTGTTAGCCGCTCATAACCGGTACTGGAAGGAAACGATGAAGACTTTAGAGGCGATAGACGAAGGGGGAGATAGTGAGGACTTTGAGACATTTTATGACATATTGGAGCGGTCGGTGATGAGGCTACAGGTCGTTATAGCACTAACTTACCTCAGCTGTTAGACAAATGACCTCGTAACTGTTGAGGAGATAAGGTAGTGGAAATAGAAATTAGAAGCTCTTGGAAGGATAGTTGAAGCTAGAAAGGTCGATGGGCGACTTTGGATGGCAGTAGAAGGGCMTTTAGCGGGCTAACCAGGGCTAGGAGAACTAGCAAGGAGGACGGAGAGAGACGCTCGGAGACTCTTGAGGGGTGTTGATCAGGAGACATTGGCTAGGTTTGGGACCCCGATCTGTCTCAAGGATAGAGGTCCTGTCACGGGTGCACTGCAGATCCGGAGAGGCACGGCCTTGTTGGCCGATCCCGAAGGAGAGGGTTACTTAGACACAGGGATTCTTGAGATAGAAAGAGAACACGAGATTTGCGACCGGTACGGGATACTGGAGGTGGTAATCAAGGCAGTCAAGGGCTAAGATTGGAGGCGGACGTGAGTCGTGACAAAGAAACAGGTCCGAGTTGCCGCGACTGTCACAGGTCCGGGTTGCCGCGACTGTCACGGGTCCGGGCTGCAACGACTGTCATAGGGTCGGGCTGTAACAGTTCGCTAGAATACCTAATTGCATCTTCTGGAAGTCCAATGGAACCCGACACGATGGGGCCACAACCGACCACGAGCGAAGCGGGAGAAGAGTACACGGCATCGCCCGATCGAGCACTGAGGGATCTGAAGGAACGAATTAGGCAAGAAGCACCGCTGAGATGGGCTGACCAAACCAATGACGGAGGGCCCGACATGAGAGGCGAGCCAGTTGCGACAGAGCCGCAGGAGGCTCTAAAGACGGGTACCTCGAGCGAACG